CTGTATAGTACTGTATAGGGTGTGGAATGCTCATTATACTGTTAGATCCCAATTCGCCTAGGCTTCAGCTTTCGGGCTCTTAGGGCTTTTGGGGTGTTAGGGTTTAGGGTTTAGGGTTCTTAGAGCTTTGGGGGTTTTAGGGTTTAGGGTTTAGGGGCTTTAGGGTTCTTATGGCTTTGTGGGCTTTAGGGTTCTTAGGGACTTTGGGGTTTTAGGGTTTAGGGTTGTAGGGTTTTAGGGTTATTAGGGTTTGGGGGTTTAGGGTTTAGGGTTTTAGGGGTTAGCCTAAGATTCTTGGGAGACTCTGCAATGTTCCTTTATGGGGCCCTCTCTCAAGGGTCCCTTGAAGGCTTCACGGGGCTTGGGGTTGAAGGTGAGGGGTCCCTTTTAAGGGTGTGCCTAGGCTGGTTAGGGGTTAGGGTTTAGGGTTTAGGTTTAGGGTTTAGGGTTTTACGGGTAGGGCTTTTTGGGCATTGGGATGTTTGAGGATTTTGGGGTTGTTGGTTTCGTCTTCAGGGTTCTTGGCTTTGTCCAGGGATTCTCCAAGGGTACTACACAAGGCGCGAAAGGCGGTTCAGGCTCTGGGCTTTCGAAAGTCTAGTGTCTTCAATGCTTGTACGGTTTACAAGTTTCAGCATTTATCAGCAACAGAAGATCTAAAATCTTCCCAGTGGCTCCCTGACCCATGAAAGGTGCAGTGGCATGCGCCGCGTCTCCAATCAACGTCACTCTCTGTTTGGGAGAAACCCAAGTTGGAAGCACTGGCTGAATGTAGACCCCCAATCAAAGCACATCTCCGCATTCCTCTCTTCTTCAAGAGCCAGGCCCAAAAAAAAGTTCAAACTTTTTAGGATAAACCCTAAACCCTAAACCCTAAACCCTAAACCCTAAACCCTAGACCTAATATGTAAAGCCAAAAAGTTTATAAAGTTCTCCCACTGGCTATCTAAGATTCTCAATGGCTGCATGGAGGACCTCGTGGCCTGGTGCAACTCTGGAGGTCAACTCCTTACTTCCCCAACAAGTCAGGGAAACAAAAGGCTCCCAAAGGCTCCATGTACCTTTATAGTAGATACTTAGGCCTTAAAGGGGTCCCTATATTGGTACTTTAAGGCTTAAGTATCTACTATATGGGTACATGGAGCCTTAGGGGTTAAACTTTCAGATTGCTACTAAACTATAACCTTTACCCTCTACGGACAAAGACCCTATTGTATACGGCTTTTGGGCTGTTTTGATGCTAAGGGTAAGAAACCAAAAAGTTTAAAGGTTGGGTATTGGAGAACTAAGGCTCCTTGAGTTTGTCTTTCACGATGGTGGAGTCCCACTTGTCACTTATCAGCTCCTCGCTGCGCATCATCAGCAAACAGACATCGTGACGCTTGTCTGCAGCACCGGCAGACCAGTCCATGACGTGATATCCTTCGCCGTCCTTGCTAATCCAGTTCACATGCACTTCCTCAGGGTTTGGGCGAATTGGCACGGAACTGCACGAGTAGATGAGACGAAATCCTGCATGCACTGGTTCACCACAGTCAAAGATCTGCTTCTTCACGACACTGTGGATTCCATCAGCCCCAACGACGATGTCTGCCTTATCTACCTTGCCATTGGCGAAAGTTAAAGTGACTTCCTTGTCATCCTCAGTAAGGCTCTCCAACTTGTGGCCGAGAAAGATCACCTCAAAAGCTTAGGGCTTAGGGTGTCTGTGGGTTTTGAGGGGATTTTTGGTTTTAGGGTTAAGGGTTTAGCGAGATGACCTCAGGAGGAATCGAATCCAGCACCATCTTCTGGAGATCCTTGCGCTGATGATGCCACCGGTTGGCATGAGCTCGTCGAGGTCTAAGCTCGTCACTTCCTGGAACCCTAAACCCTAAACCCTAAACCCGAAACCCTAAACCCTAAACCCTAAACCGGTCCTGGCCATCACTCCAATATTTGGTAGCTTTTGGATGATTGGCCAAAGCATCGAAGACCTCCTTCAAGCCGAGCTTTTCGAGAATCAGGCTGGATTGCTGGATGCCCAAAGAGCCACCGCGAGTCTTCCACTCATCCCAAGCCTCATAGAGTTTCACCTGTTTCGGGTTTAGGGTTTAAGGTTTAGGGTTTAGGGTTTAGGGATTTCACCTCCACTTTGCCAGCCCCGTACTGGGTGAGGGTCTTGGCCAACACCAAGCCCCCGATCCCAGATCCAACAATTGCAACGCGTGTCACCATGGGAACTGCGGGGGAACGGCAAACCCGAACTACCCCAGGCTGTTGTGCTGTTGCAGTTGTTGCTGTTGAGCCAAAGGCAAGGTAAGACAGGACCTCAAGAAAGTTCGATGCTTGAGGCTTTGCCTACTGCAAGTGCCATCACCATGACACCTAAACCCTAAATCACATAATGTAGGGAGGGGCCTTGATAATTAGAATAAGGTTTTGGGATATATTATACTATAATTATACTAAGGAACTCCCAAAATGGTCTTGGCAAGTATTACGGCCCCTACCTTACCCTGAGCCCTTACCCGGCCATGAAAGTTTGCCTGCACGAATCCAAGATATCGGAAAGAGCCTCCGGAAGAATCCTCTGGCCACCCTGGCTGCTCCTCACGCACGTCTGGGGGAGGGTTGATGTGGCCCTGAACCCTAATATATATATATATATAACATCATGTACTACACTTTTCACTAGTGCATAACCTATTAAGATACCATCCCTCAACTTTACCACGCAAAGCCGGCAATCCCAACACAGGGACTTTGCTGCAGGATGATGTTGCACTTGTTGCCTACGGGCTGCCTCTGCGCGAGCATGGTCTCGGAAACCCAAGGATGCCTGCTAAGGGGCTTGTCCCTAACCCTTACCCTCACAGGACTCATATTTTGAGGCTTTTGGAACCATTACGTATATAATAATGCTTTTGGGCTATTTTGATGCTAAGGGAGGGTAAGGGCCCATGTGCCGAATACTTTGGACTTGAAGTGGTCTCTAAATAGATACTTCAGGCCCGGCCAAAAGTATATACTGTTTGGATACATGGAGCCTTAGTTAGGGTATCTGTGCCGCAAAAGACCTGGTGCGAGGCCCATGAACGTTCAGAAGCAATAATTACGTGGAATATCCTGATTCGTGGCCACAAACCTATACTTTCTCATGAACCACTGGAAAGGAACGGCAACTACTGTCCCAAAACAGTCCACAAATAAGATGGCTATATTGTAACAGCGCGACCCTCCCCACCTTCCTCCCTCAAAGAAATGAGCACAAAACACTTCCAGATGCCTGACCTTACGTCCCAAAAAATGCCAAGACCTCTACGTAAACTCCCAAAAGTAGGTGAAAGAATTGCCAACACCACACCTAAAAGCAACAAACAAACATATCATTCTACCTCTTTTTGAGGTCCAGGTAAGCCCTACCCTAAACCCTAAACCCTAAACCCTAAACCCTAAACCCTAAACCCTAAACCCTAAACCCGCAAAACCCAAGGCGGGCCTGAGCCTTTCTGACGAAGCGTAGCTCGCCATCACTTGGTCTTCCGTGATCCACCTGCTCGCCCCAAAAAGACCCTGCCCATGACCAGGGTTTAGGGTTTAGGGTTTAGGGGTTAGGCTTTAGCGGCTTCAGGCTTTAGGGTTTAGGGTTGGGGAGTTAGGCTTTAGGGTTTAGGGTTTAGGGGGTTACACTTTCGAACGGTTGGGGCCATGATTGTGCGGAACTGAGCGATCTACAGAGCAACACTTTGGGGTTTTGCGATCAGTCAGGGCTTCGGCTCCCGCAGCACTCCACCAACTCGACCCGGCAAATCCCCAAATACAACCCAAGGGGGTGATTGTCAAAATTATGGTCCCTTTCTGGGTCCGTAATATAAGACGGCACCCAATACTTATGGTACCCAAAAAGGGACCCTAATTTTGACAACCACCCAAGCGTCGCCAGCAGCTCCCTGACAGCCTGAAACCCCCTCTGGCACTGGTGCCCGAAACTGCCGCAACCTCGATCCTGCTGCCACAATACTCATCATAGCAATAATGGTAATAGTTGATAGTAATACTAATAATAATGATAATAAAAAACAATAACCATAATAATCATAATAAGAATAAGAAGAATATTAGTAACAACAATACTAATTAAAAACAATAACAATAACAATAACAATAATAATAATAATAACAATAATAATAATATTACTAATAGTAAGCCTCCAACTGCAATCCCCCAGAGCTGGAAGCTGAAAACCAAGCGCCCCGAAAGTCCGAGGAAGGTCCGTACGGACCCTTCGAAGAGGGGAGCCCTCTGATGCAAGAAGGAGCACATGGTTTAGGGTTCTTGGGTTTAGGGTTTAGCGTTTAGGGTCTAGGGGTTTAGGGGTTTTGGGTTTAGGGTTAAGGGGTTTTGGGGTTTGGGGTTTAGGGTTTAGAGTTTTTTTTTAGGGTTTACCAACAAGATCCACCCAAAGGTGAAATATTGCTTGGACTGCCAAGATCAAGAAGCTCTTCAGCTTTAATGCCTACAGTGTCCTACTTCATCCGCAAGAGCAGCATCGACATCGCCAGCATGAGCCGCCTGGCCTTTTGAAGGCTATTAAACAAGGGGCTACCATCAGGGCGACTTCTTGGGTAGTTTTCTAAATCAGGGTCTTTTTTAGGTCCCCAGTATAGCACGGCACCCTTATAAAAAGGACCCCAAAAGGGATCCTAACTTAGAGAACTACCCATGTGGGTAACTACATACTCAGCACCCACCTTCTCCCGTGGATCCTAAACCCTAAACCCCAAACCCAAAACCCTAAACCCCAAACCCTAGGCCCTAAACCCTAAACCCCAACCCTAAACCCTAGGCCCTAAACCCTAAACCCTAAGCCCTAAACTCTAAACTCTCAAACCCTAAACTCTCAAATTTCAATCTCTGCACCCTAAAGGATCTCCCGCAGGATCCCCAACCCTAAACCCTTAAG